ATCCAGGAATATACGCTACAGATGGGGATTCCCCCTCGCCATCACAGCAACACACAACGGGGTCACTGCCACCCTCTCATCGGCCGAGGATATACAAACCTTCACTTCAGCCCTTGACCTTCCAGAAGTCTGCATCCCAGACTGGTATGGACCAATACACCCGTCTCCACAGCACAATGCCCCAAGACTGAGAGGACAGACCCCGTCACATCACACATCAAGGTGGACACAGACCGAGAGCAGGACCCCCACCCAGTAAAGAAATCTCCTTACCAACACCACCGGTCACCACCCGCCCTTACCACGATTCTATGGTCTAACCCGCAAATACGGACAGTAGAGACTCTATTCAACGAACTGACCTCATTGTTGGATTCATTCTGGCCCAGTTTGGATTACAAGCGTGAACAAGAACCACGTACTCCCCTGGACTCCCACCAAGAAGAGACGCTCTAGTGACTCAACCTACCCTAGAGGCCAAGATCCACACACACACACACCTTCCTTGGAAAAGAACACTCTAATATCCCCAACGTTACGATAGACGAGTCAGACCTCCCAATCCCTACCAGAACCAAGGATCCCATCAAGCCTCACTCTGCTAGGCCCCAAAGGAGTAGGTATCGCACTGCCTCTACTGCGAATCCAGGACTAAATTCTAACCACTTCAGAACTGTACAGACTCCTGAACCCAACCCTGCAAACCTTGAACACTCTGTTTATTGAACGGCAATGATATGCCTATGGGAAGTCCAGCGGAAGCCCCACTGACTGATATCATACTTACTCTTAAACTGGTTTACATTGTGTGAGCACATTTTGCCTCCTCAAGCCTCTCCCCCTCCCCTTACTCTGTCTACCCTCATACACCCCCCCTCTCACCTACCTCTGCTTCACTCCCCGTCCCCACACCCTTCTCCTCCCCTACGCCTTTCCCATGGCACTTCTCCTAAAAACCTGCATGGCGTTCCAAATGCCTATCATGCCATTATCCTAGTTACAATACTGTACTAGATATCTTGGGTCCTTGCAAAGTTGGAAGATGGTATGCACGCACTAATCACGGCCCAGATACCGGACCGGCACTAACGAGCCAATCCGACCCAGACCACTGAGCCCTCACCACCCATACCCATCGTGACCGGTGATCACCACATGGTCCCATAAACTATTCACCACCTCAAGCCTGATTTACCAATCCAAATCATTTAGCATAACATGGATTGCCCGTCTCTCCCTATGGAAAGACATCACCAAACCCCCCCCACACCAAACTGATTCTGTTACTCTAAAAACGAGTGGAGAGTCGCCTAGAGCCTGAGCGGTGCCAGCTCAACTTCCCCTGGACTTAATTGCCACCAAGGGGAAAGCCACCGTCAAACAAGGCAGACTGACTCCACATTCAATAACATCCCAACTTCCAGCTCTACAAGTGTAAGAGCTGAACTGTATATAGTTTATTTGATTGTTTTATTGTTAATTCTGTTTATATTTCATTCTGATCGCTACATACTCACTCAACATCACCACAACATAGCACCCACCCCCGCAGACAACATGGCCAGTCTCACAGTAATCACTCTCAATGTCAGGGGCCTCAATTCCCCCATGAAAAGAGCGCTGACCCTCCGGGAGCTACGCAACCTAAAAGCAGACGTAGCTTTCCTTCAAGAAACCCACTTCAAAACGGTCTCAACTCTCACAATTCGCAATCGCCATTACCCCACAGGATACTATGGGTGCTACAAAGAGGCCAAGACTAGAGGAGTAGCCATCCTCATAGGTACACACGTACCCTACACACACATAAGTCACTATGCAGACTCCAATGGCAGGCTCCTCATAGTGAAGGGTAAGATAGGCAACACTATGGTGACGTTTGCTAACATGTATTTACCTAATACCAAACAAAGCATACACCTGAAGAAATACATTACCAAAATAGAAAGTCACATGGAAGGTATCCTCATAATGGGAGGAGATCTAAATATGTCCCTAGACTCGAACCTAGACACCACATCCATGTCCACATCCTACAACGCCCCCACTAGACTCAAGATGACCCAACTACTGGATAAAGCCTACCTGTTTGACAGCTGGAGGATCACCCACCCACACACCAAGGATTACTCCTACTACTCCATGGTAAAACATACCTATTCCAGACTAGCTATGCTCTTCCTCCACCACAGACACCTACACCTAATCCAATCCTGCAACTACGGCCCAATCACCTGGTCGGATCATGCCCCATTGTCACTGGTTATTCAAATCCCCTCATTGACACCCAATCGTACCCAGTGGAAACTGAATGACACCCTACTAAATGACCCAACCATCAATAAAACACTCACTGATACACTACGGCACTACTTTGAGGAAACAAACCCACCATCTCCCCCCCACCAATCATCTGGGAAGCCCACAAGGCGGTACTAAGGGGCCACATTATAGCGTTAGCCTCAAAGCTCAAAAAACAGAGAAGCACAGACAGCTGACTTACTCGTGGACATACGCCAACTAGAACAAACCCACAAACAAAATGTGTCCCTTGACATATACAAACAACTAGTGGACAAACGCACGACACTACAAACACTTCTTAACTCCAAGGTTAAACGAATGCTGCTACGCACTAAATACACTTACTACACACAAGGAGGAAAATGTGGCAAATTACTAGCGAGAGCACTCCAACAAAACAACCAACGGACATACATCAAACAGAAAGACGGCACACGCACACACCTCCTACCAAACATACTTAAGGAATTCCACTCTTTTTACTCAGACCTATGCAACCTGAGACAAGCCCCGCCCTCTAGTGAGGGTGTGACCAGTTTCCTTGCCACAAGGATCACCCACACTATCCCCCCGAATATTAGACAAACCTTCGACAGCCCCATGACACCTGAGGAATTCACCGCAGTAGTCAAACGATTCCCCCTGGGGAAAAGCCCTGGACCGGACGGCTTCACAGCCAAATATTATAAAACTTTCACCAATGCCCTAAAAACTCCATTCGTGGACGCATTTAATGCGCTCACATCAGGGCATAACCTCCCAACCGAATCCCTAGAAGCCCACATAACCCTCATACACAAACCGGGGAAAGACCCCGAAGACTGTGGGAGTTACCGCCCCATCTCTCTGATTAACAGAGATCTCAAGATATTCACAAAGATCCTAGCCGAACGACTCCAACCACTACTTAAGGGGCTGATCCACCCTGATCAATCCGGTTTCATGCCTGGGCGCAAAGCAAAAAACAACACAACAAAACTGCTCAGCCTCATCTACGCTGCCAAATCGGTACAATCCCAAAGCCTCATACTTACCATAGATGCCGAAAAGGCATTTGACTGGGTGGACTGGTCCATGCTCAAATTGACACTGCAAGCGCTAGGCTTCGGCCCGAACTGGAGTAGGTGACTCTCAGCCATATACTCCAAACCAGGAGCACGAATACGGGTGAATGGCCAACTTTCAGACATGTTTCAAATCACCAACGGCACGAGGCAAGGGTGCCCCCTCTCCCCCCTGTTATTTATTCTCACAATGGAACCATTCCAACAGGGAATTAGGGACTGCCCGGATATAACGGGCCTCACAGTGGCACAAAACGAATACAAGGTCATAGCGTTTGCTGATGACCTTCTGTTCATAATCTCAAATCCAGTGACATCACTGACCCACCTCAACAAATTGACCTATACCACCAAGTCTCTAACTACAAAATCAACGTCAGCAAGAGCGAGATACTCCCCCTCAACCTATCTCACAATACCCAATCTTTTCTTCACAAAACCTACCCATTCCAATGGCCCTCAGATTCTGTCAAATACCTGGGTGTCCAACTCACCACGCTAGACCGTTTCTATAACATCAACTTTCCTCCCCTCCTTGCTAAGATAGCATCAGACCTCAAGGCTTGGAACAAGCCACAATTTGGAAGGCTTTGCAGGATCCACATCCTAAAAATGAATATACTCCCTAAACTTCTTTACCTGCTACAAACCCTCCCCATTAAAATTCCTACCTCCTTCTTTGCACAAGCTAAGCGGACATTTACAACATTCATATGGGCGGAAAATCCCCCCAGACTCCGATACGACTGCCTCACCAAAAGTAAACAGAGAGGTGGCCTGGGTCTCCCTGACCTGGAGGCGTATTACAAAGCTATCACACTTGCAAGAATATATGAATGGGCACACCCCCGTAACGACACACAATGGGTAAGGATTGAGGCCAACTTCTTCACAACACCACTACACCTTGCTCCCTGGCTAGGAAAAAGGCCCAACATAACAACACACAACTCAGAGCTACATGTGACAATCCCTCACACCCCAAGAACCTGGCATAACATCAGGAGGGATCAATTTATAGCTCCACACCCCTCACCGCTCTACCCACTCACCGACAATCCAGCCTTCCTACCGGGCTCTAACCCAATCGCTCTCCAAAGTTTCCCTAGACAGACCCACACACTCACTTTAGGTGATGTCCGCAACGACAAAAGGATCATCCCACTAGAGGACCTTACCCCCAATGCCGAACCCTCTAGCATGCTCAGACTCAGACACGCACAAATTAAACACTTCCTACACTCGGACCCAATACTCCTCCAGGGACACAGGAACCCCACGCTATTCGAAACACAATGTTCTTAACACACACTACGTAAGGGTCTAATCTCATCCTTCTACAAAACAATCCGCCACAGTCAGGATGAGATCCTGCCAAATTACACCACACACTGGGACAAAGAACTGTCCACCCAAATACAGGCTAAAGAATGGCACAAAATATTCCACAACAACTTCCATACATCCAGGAGCAATAGCACCCACGAAAGCAACTATAAGCGAGTTGCCAAGTGGCACTATACGCCAACTCGCATTAACAGGTTCTTCCCTAACAAACCTAAAACATGTTGGAGATGAAAACAAGCTGAGGGAACCTCAGGTCATATTTGGTGGCTCTGCCCCGTGATCCAGGATTACTGGAGAAAGATTGCCAACCTCATACGCACCATCACTGGCATCAACCTTCCCCAAACACCTGAAACCATGTTATTCCTAACATACCCCCAACCACTAAACAAGCGCCAACGCATCTTACTCAATCACCTCCTAACGGCAGCCAACGCTCTAAACCCCACGATGTGGAAACAGACCACAGCCCCGACTATTAGAGCCTGGATTGCCAGGGTTGACTCTATTAGAAAAATGGAGGAACTAGCCTACTCCTTCACTCTAAAATATGACGAATACCACACCACCTGGACACCTTGGCTCCAGTTCCTCCAAGGTAATCACGGACAAGTTGACAGCCACCACTTCTCCCATCAGACCTAAACCCCTGTCCACCCTCGAACATTGCCAACCTCCCAGGCTGATAAGCCGTATAAACCTCCCAAACTGTTATGCACCTAAATATACCACCATCCAGTGTCTGCATCCACACCTTACTGCTTTACTCCTACCACAAGGTAGCAGCGCGCACCACCTTGCAATACCCGATGACCGGCTATAACGTCATCCCACACCTTGCACTTTTTAACATACATTGTACTCTAGTTTGCCTTCCGTATTGTACCATTGTGTATGCAGACATCAAAGCCATATGAACCTCACCTACACGTAACAAACCCCCCTATACTACAAACACAGGTTCTCCACTGAACTTTCCCTGTTATCAACAACGTCGATATACTTGTACCTATGAAGTATCCTGTTATATTGTTGACCTCATTGTACTGCTCATAATACCTCAATAAAAAAGTTATAAAACCTAAAAAAAAAAAAATAAGAAAGTCACATAGAGATCTGTGTGCAAAAAAGAACATTTGTCCTCCAGACCATAAGTCCCTGGGCCTCCCCTGACAAAGATTTGATTCTTTGATCATTTAATTTCTTGGTCTTTTCTTGTGTACAGACTACTTGTAGAAAATAATTGACAAAATACTATTTCTATCTGAAACATGCAGTTGTTTGTGTATTTCCTTACCTCTGCAGTCAAAAATATATCGAGATATTTGAATGGACATCATACGAGTTCCAAATATAAATTTATTTCTTTTAATATTGTAATCCTACAATTCAAAATGCTCTTTTTTTCTAACAAATTATTGTAAAGGTTGATAATGTATTTAAATAATTAATGTCTCCTCACACCAAAATACCTAGAGGAATGTTCTAGTGTAATTCTTTGTCAAAAGTAATAACTGCCTAAGAATCTGAGAAAAAGACAGAAAATAGCTTGTGGTGATGTGAACATTTTGATACCTACTTGATTTTCAAATCCAAATTTCAAAGCTTTGTGTGTCTGACTCCAATAAAAAATACATTTTGACACCTCAAGGGAATGAGAATCAATTGGTTTTAGATGTTATGAGATTGATTTGGTTAGCTAAAACCTAATATAATGATAATTCCAGCAGGACTATTTTGCTTCCAGGGACCTTTTGGATGTATTTTGTTCTAGCAACTAGCTGGATGTATGAAGTATATAAATGCAATTTACTGTATTTCAGATATTATTTTAACTGGGAAACCGTACTGGCTGTCAAGTAAAACCTCAAGGAAAACAACCGTTATTGGAAGAGTCTCCATATTTATGTGTTCCTTTAGCTTCTTGCTCCTCTAGTGAGAAGGCTGTGATTGGTTGCCTAAATTAATCATTCAATCACATAACCAGAGAGGATAAATTATAAAAAAAAATACGTTTCTTATTTAGACATTTCTAACTTCCATTTGTTTTACTTTAAACATGAGATCCTGTTTTTTCTTTGTACTATCCAATTAGGCTAAATGCTGTATCCTCTATCTGAATACCTATTATGGTGGCAGAATGAGGATTATCACTAGAATTTATTTTGGTAAGTAATTTTTTTCCAAGAATGGTAAAATCCAAAAGACTTGCAAATAGTAATATTGTGTACATACTAATATAATCAATTATACCATATCTACAGCATAAAGTAGACATGATGTAATTGACTGCAGTTGTTCTAAAATAATATTTTGGATGCTTTTAAAAGCGATTTTAAAATGACGACAAGTACTTATCCCAGATGTAACAATTGCAGCATTGTTTATTTCATCAGCAACAACAGAGAGCAGAAGTCTTTAAAGGAACTCTGAGCTTTGTTAATGTATATTATCACCAAGACTATATAAATATTGCAGCCAGTTGATCACCAACACTCTCTTCAGTGTAAAAAATAGTCAATATATATTGAAAACAAAATGTAGAGATCGAGAAGTTCGAAAACCCCCCACAAAGGCCTACCATTTGTAAAAGTAGACACTCCAGGGTATCTCATATGGTGCATATTGTGCCTTAACATGCCCCCATTTTTTCACCAATGTATGTCAAAGTTTGTGATAAAAAATAATTTGGGGCATTTTTTACATCCGCATTACATTTTGCTGGGCATTTTGTATATTTGACATGTGCCACAATGATCAAAGTCCCAACATTATGCTCAGCTAAGTCTTCTGAGTAAAATGACACTCCCATTGTATGTCTTTTTTACTATTTCGTGAAGCTACAGCGCCATATAGGAGACCTGTCCATTTCGGTATTTAAAGTAGAATTTTGAGAGGCGGATTTGATGGGCCTATGTTTCAATTTAGGCCACTATAGAAGTTTGACTGTTCGAAAAAAAAACACAAAGGCCTACCATTTGTAAAAGTAGACACTCCAGGGTATCTCATATGGTGCATATTGTGCCTTAACATGCCCCTATTTTTTCACCAATGTATGTCAAAGTTTGTGGTAAAAAATTATTTTGGGAATTTTTTACATCCGCATTACTTTTTTGCTGGGCATTTTGTATATTTGACATGTGCCACCATGATCAAAGCCCCAAAATTATGTTTAGCTAAGTCTTATGAGTAAAATGACACTCCCATTGTATGTCTTTGTTACTATTTCGTGAAGCTACAGCGCCATATAGGAGACCTGTTCTTTTCGGTATTTACAGTATAAATTTGAGAGACGGATTTGATGGGCCTATGTTTCAATTTTCGAAAAACCCCCACAAAGGCCTACCATTTGTAAAAGTAGACACTCCAGGGTATTTCAAATGGCATATTTTAAACCCTAGTGTAGGATCATTTTTTTTACTAGTTTGTACCAAGTCTAGTAGCAATTAGCATTTTTTTCTGCCTTTTTGACACACACTTGGAGATGTTACTGTATATTTTGCAATCATTATGTGTGCTACGGCAATATGACACCTATTATGGTGCTCAGCTATGTCGTCTTAGTACAACAATACTCCCATGTGTACCTTTTAAGGGATATGTGGGTGTTGAAGGGGCACATTGGAGACTAAGCCATATCAGTTTTTTTTTTTCAAACTTTGAATTTTGACGCTGGGTCCATTTGCAATTTTACATCATCTTAGCAGGCTGATAATTCAAACTACCCCACAAAGGCCTACCATTTTTTAAAGAAGGTATTACTCACTGTATTAACCTGCATCAAACCCTGGGGCACTGCCTGTCAACTCTATCTGCTGATAGAATTCATAACTTCCCTAGCATTTTTTACTTTTTACACAAGAACTTTAATTAAATAATGTTATAAAAAATTTTTTTATGTTTTTTAAATCTTTTCACCCCTAGCGTAACGCTAAACTCCCCAACTTCCTATGAATTACCACGTACCCTAATTAACTAACTAAAATTACAAATACCAGCTATGCTATGTTCCCTGTGCCTGAAGATAGCTATGGTGCCCATAGCACAGAAGTCCTAAAGCAAATCCCAAGCCACTGCTGTTAGGTCTGACACATTCCACGATCCCTGGTAACAGCACAGGCCACCAAGGACAGATGGTTCTGAGAGACCAACACATGCAGAGCCCCATTCAGAAGGAGGTAGGGTGCGTGGCACAAGGATGAGTAGGTCATCGCTGGACAACCTCCACAGAATCGGGAACCATAGTTGAGTCCTCCACGGAGGTGTCACAAACACAATCGTCACACCCTGACATCTCAGAAGATGAAGATTCCATAGAATCATTAAGAAAGGTGGAAGCATGTATGCCCCTGAAGGGAGCTATTCTTGAAAAAATGTGTACATTGCCAGACACAGGGGGTCCAGAATCATGCTGAAGAATAGATCCGTGTGCCAAGTTGCTCTATGGAGAACAGATCCAGATGAAGAGGGCAACACCAACAACCCAAGAGATGGAATATCTTCTGGATGAAGCCACCAGTTGTTGGCGTCTCTTTAGTAATGGGAGAACCATTCTGCTACAAGGTTGTCTTCACCCAGAGGGTACTCCACCCTGATTGAGGGCAATACTAATACAGATCTTTCGTAAGATTCGCCAGAACCTTTGAGCGGGAACCGCCTTGACGGTTTATGTGCACACCACCTACGTGTTTCCATCCGAAGAACTAGTGAACAGTGCAACTTGTCCTTTGTGAACCTGCAAATTGTGAAGGAACCCACAATCAGTTTCAGATAATTGATGTGAAGAGAGTGTTCATCTAGAGTCCAAAAGCCGCCCATGACCACACTGTTGCACATTGTGCCACATCTCAAGGAGCTGGCATCCAATTCCAGGATGAAGTCTGGACTTGAGCCAAAAATCACTTTGCTGTTCTATACTTCTATGTGTGTTAGCCACCAGTGGAGTTCGAGATGAAACAAAAAAATTGAAATATCCAATGGCACAGTATAAAAACCAATAGTCAGGTAGAATACAAAGTGGGTATCTACTTACATACTTACATGGTATAAAGCATGAACCTGCTCTGATATTATAAAGCGTTAGTGGTACAATGCCCACCTGGGATGTATGGAGCCAGGAAGCCAAATAAGTAAAAGAGTAAAATCCAAAATAAATTCAAAATAAATTAAATTTAAAAAGGATCAACTTTATCACCTTATACAAAACAAAAATAGTTTTAAAAAAAAAGCATCCAAAAAGATTAAAAAAAAGAATCCACACTTAACGCTTTTCACCATGGGGTTTTATCAAAAGTTGATCCTTTTTCAATGTAATTTATTTTGAATTTATCTTGGATTTTACTCAGTTACTTATTTGGCTTCTTGGCTCCATACATTCCAAGTGGGGATTGTACCAGCAATGCTTTATACCACCAGAGCAGGTTCGTGCTCTATACCATGTAGGATACCTACTTTTAATTCTGCCATTGGATATTTCCACTTTTTCTTTCCACATATCTTATTGTTTGGAGAAACACCATAACCACTCTGCAACTTACATCCTAAGACAGGAAAAGGGAAAGAGACAAAATGTCTAAAACATAATAATAAGAAACAAAC